ATGATAATATATGCCAAAATACTTAACACAAAAAACAAAATCCTGGTACAGTGATCTGACAGTAGCTGCTTTTACGGTGGACTCTTAGTTGAACCGCATCTATACGGATTTGGGAGAACATGTAGCGTTTACTTTGCAAACACATGTTCTTCTGCTTCTGTTGTCAGGCATCAGTGTCCTTTAATTATTTGTTTAATGTCTGACCATCTCCTCTAGACTGTAAGATGCTTGAGAACAGCGCTGTGTTCTCTCATTCACCCTGAAACACATGATTCGAACAATATCTAGCTTGTCACTTCTCTGATGGTGTCACCTGCCATCAGAGGTAGGTGACAGGGTAGATGGGATACACGTGCTCCCTGTAGATGGCAGATCAAATGATAACAGGGGTTTGGGTGCGAGAAAGACAGAGATAAAGAGGTAAAAATAAGAGGTGTTCCTCAATTCATTCCCTAAGGATTACTGTGCATGTTACTAGGCTAAAATAGGAGGTAAATATGAAATGCATAAGTATTTAGACCACTGAGTGTGGTTCTAGCCCAGGCGCTCTCATTAGGAAATGAACAGTAGTCTGGAGCCTAGCACAGCCAGGTGAATAAGAATTAACTTCCTCTAGTAATTCAAGGTGTATTTTAATGCCTTTGAGCATTATGGTTCTTTTTTGGGAAAATTTGGTCATTTATCTGTGCTTTACTTTCTATAGAAAGAAAAATGTTCCCTATTACTTGTTTACTAGATTCACAATTATATACATGAATTCAGGTCATAAGCCTGCTTTTATGAGTCCTTTCCATTGAACAGAATATGTGAGAGACAATCCAAGAACAACGTTCTGATCTGTAAAACAGATCAGTCCTCAGCCTGTCGATCCTGCATCTGTCTGGTGCTAAGCAGACTGATAGCCTTTCTGAATAATGAAGAAATTTTGGCAATTCTAACAGCTCAGTAAAGAGTGGGAAAGCTGGTCTAGGGCCAGGAAGATATTGTTAACAAAAGACAGACCTGCAGCAGATCATCTGAAATTTGGATGATCTCCTGAGGCGCTGAAGTCAGCTTCTCAGTGTTACCAAAAGTGAAGAAAGATTTCCAGGCAGAGATGGAGTTTCCCAATGAATGTCAGAGGAGCCGTGGCCCGGAACAAACCTGAATGGATGTTACGTGGCTCACCCTCAGTCCTGTCTTTCAATAATACTTCTGTTTTTGCCAGATCACGTATACTGATGGGTGTGAATTCAAGCCACCGTTGAATAAGTCTGCTGTATGTGTCTTTCAACAGAAGGAAGAAGAAAAAGTCTCTAAGAGAGAGAACCACATCTCAGAATCCCTCGAATCCAATTGTTAGAAGCTATTGGTATAGACGTGGAGTCTCTTCAAGACTTTAGCTTTAAAAATATTTAATATTTAATATTAAATATTTGACTCTGACAGAATTCATAAAAAGCTCAAAAGGAAATGATAATCTCCTTGGAATAGAGTCTATGTTTAGATTTTAGAAAATCTAAAAATATGTTTAAAAATAGGAGTAAGTGAACCAGTTCCATGACCAGGGATTGAACCCGTGCCCCCTGCAGTGGAAGCTCAGAGTCCTAACCACTAGACCTCCAGGGAATTCCCAAACAAGTTTTTACTATAAACCATACTGGTGACTCTTAAATCCCTTCAGAAAGTTTCAGTTTGCTTAAATGAATATAAACAAATAGTTCCCAACGTCTGAGCTGTGTGGGTAGTTATCCTCTGATTTCTACCCAGTTGTATGCTCTTTTTAAATGAATTCACAGTGCTGAGCTATGATTTGAGTTCTACCAACCTATGCCCTAATGGACCACTATCAATTATTAGAGACTTACTTTTAACCATGATCCTGGTACTGGCATCCTGTTTTAGAAAGCTAAATGTTTTAAGAAAAATCTCAGACTGTTTTTTTCCAAGAGTATTTACACTGAAAGTTAATATACTAAGGCATAGTTTCAGGAGAGAAGACAGCCTAAGCTCTAAGGAGAAAAATAAAGAAAAATAGAAAGTATTGTTAAATTGTAATCCTGTAATAATGTCCTCCATGTCCATATGTTCAATGTGGTCATCCTTTAGTTGTCTTTGCAGTAATAGCATGACAGTGGATGGACTGGATGCCAACTTACTGTAGGAACTGCAGATATTTTTAAAGAGGTCCACTAACCGGTACCTACAACCTGGCAGGCCCTCTGCTTGTTTTATTTGTATAATGTCATCCAAACATCGTACAAGAAGGGCCTATTGTGGGAATCCAGGATATCCTTTGTAGATGTGTAACATGATATTTAATGAAAGTATCTTTTATAAAACTACCAGGTTAACACTGTTGATCTGGCCAGCTCTTTTCACCTGTACACTTCACTGTCCAGTCCTCTTTCAAGCTGGTTTTTGTTCACACTGAAGGCTTTTTCACTACTTACACTGACTTTCTGTTTTCTGCTGCTGCCTCTGATTGAAACAGTTCGAGAAGTTTCTCGGTTCCCAGAGCCTAATCAGTGCTTTAGTGCAGGATGAGGTGCTTATAGCTCTTCCTTCCTTTAGCTCTCACCTTGATTTCCCAGGTAAGGCAACACAAGAGTGAAAAAAGAAGGGATCACTAGGCAGTGTGTATTATGTAACAGTGGCAACCCACTCTAGTACTCTTGCCTGGAGAATCCCATGGACAGAGGAGCCTGGCTGGCTACAGTCCATGGGGTCACAAAGAGTCGGACACGACTGAAGTGACTTAGCATGCATGCACACGCCAAGTTGTAGTGTGTATTATATAATTCACCTCTTCCCAGTTGCAAATGGAAGCTGTGAAATTAACTGAAGAGCCAGATCTGGAAATGGGCAAGTAGACCACCAGGCCCTTGTCTTGTGTAAATGCTGCTTCCTCCTCCCACTGGCTGGCGGCCGGGGCCACACTGTCACACCACCACCGCTGTCTGCCCCTGCCCAGATGGGAGTTCAGACATAGTGACACAGCATGCCGAAAAGGATGAGACAAAGCTCAGGTCATGCACAGATCACGCATGCCAGATGCTGTCCACAGTGTGGGGAGGCCTTGATACCTAAGCCTGACCCTGCAACCAGGTTCAGGGTGGGTAGCCTGACCTTGACCCCAACTTTCCCCTCCTACTCTCAACTCTTCCTTCCATTCTCAGCCTCTCTGCGGATTCTGTATGATCAAAACAGACCCTTCCCCCTCTGACTTCATTTAACACTGAAAAGCACCATTAGGTAGGGAATGTCATCCATTTGTTTTCACCTTGTGTTAGAGGTCTGTGAGCTAAAAGTCTGAGAATCACTTCATTATTTTAAAAAAAGAAAATTCTTCTTCAGGAAAAGGATAGGCAGACATGAGAACTCCACAATCTCTGAAATTTTGGTATACTTTTCTCATTCTATATTTGTTCCTCTGAAATATACATATACATATCTCCCCTGAAAGAACACCCTCCAGCCCTCCACTGTCATTTCCTTTGTTGTTCTCGGTAGTGTTGTTTGTACCTTTGTATGGTGACCTCTCCAGGGCAAGGACTGTCTTACTTACCTTTGCATCTGTTCTAGTCACCAGTGGCCTGCCATCAAGGAGAGGCTTCATAGCAGGCTGTCACTAAATGATACTTTTTTATTCATCTCTCACTGGACTGTAGTGATAAGCACCATGAGTCTGTATCTATCATGGACACTGTAGAGGAAGAAAATGATTTTTTTCCTGTACTCTCCTAGGTTCTCTGCTCAGAAAAAAGATAGATTAATAAGAGAAAATTAGAGTTTATTTATACATGCATCGCCCCTACACAAGAGAGTACCCAGTGGCGTGTAATTCAAAGGGCGGCTAGAACTTGGGCTTATATAGCATCTTAACAAAAGAACAGTACATCTGTAGAGAAGTGACAAGTCAAAGGAAAAGGACTTTGAGCTTCTAGAGGCACAAATTGTGGGAAGGCACCTGAGGAGGGACAATCCTAAAGGAAATCAGTCCTGAATATTCATTGGAAGGACTGATGTTGAAGCTGAAACTCCAATACTTTGGCCACCTGATGCAAAGAACGGACTCATTGGAAAAGACCCTGAGGTTAGGAAAGATTGAAGGAAGGAGGAGAAGGGGACGACAGAGGATGAGATGGCTGGATGGCATCACCAACTTGATGGACATGAGTCTGAGCAAGCTCCGGGAGTTGGTGATGGACAGGGAAGCCTGGCGTGCTGCAGTCCATGGGGTCACAAAGAGTCAGTCACAATAGAGTGACTTAACCTGAATGTGAGGAGGGAACGAATGAAAAATGCAAATTAGTGAAGTTTGTTCACGTAGATTGCTCTGGTGCCACTTGTGGGCTAAGCAGGGTGTTCAGTGTCTGAGAATTAACTTCTTCCTGGTAGTGAGGGGATGGGGGACAGTCTGACCATTTATGCCCTGCTTTTAGGCAAACGGGGAGAAGGCAGAGAGCTTTCCTGCTTCTTCTCAGTTGCTTTTGGCTCCTTGTGCCAAAGTGGCATAGTTGGGGTGGCGTGTTCTGTCACCCTTTGGCACCTTGCACATGACTGCACACAGCAGATGCTTAACCACTTACTGAGTTGAACTAAAATAAAAGCAGAGGCAACTTTCCTGTTTCCAACTAAAGCCTGCCTAAATAATTTACCCTGCACAACAGGATAAATAGATGGAAACATTTGGGCTTCAGGCAGAGCCCAGAGGCAATATGCTGGCAGAGCCAGGAGGCCTCACCTCGAGTCCACGGCTTCTGCTTTACCCAAAGGAATGCCGATGCCTTCAGCTTCCTTTCAGCTTCCTTTTGGGATGTTGGGAAGATACAGTTGAGTGAAGGCTATAAAAACACTTTGAGAAAAGTATAAAGCTTTCTTTACAGATATTATTGCTTCCTGTGTAAGCTCCCATAGCAAGTGTATTATGAGCATTTAGTAAGTGTTGGCTAGTAGTGTTGAATGCTGTTTACTCCTCAAATCAGTAAGCTTTAACACTTGTGTGGTACTCTTCACAGGTACGAGTTAGGAGCTGCTCTGTTTATTGGATGGGCAGGAGCCTCACTCTGCATAATTGGTGGTGTCATATTTTGCTTTTCAATATCTGACAACAACAAAGCACCCAGGTATGAAAAGAGACAAAAATGACCTGTTAAAAAGTACAATACTATTCTAAACTGTTATATGTGGGATAAATTATAGGTAGTTCATATGATTCTTAAAAACTTCAAACACCCAAAATTGGGAAAGGTTAAGAATATATAGTAAATATAACATTTAATATGGTAAAATTACATTGAATAGAATAGATAGTTTAAAAAGCAGAGCTTGTGTTGATATAGGACAGAAACCAACACAATATTGTAAAGCAATTATCTTTCAATTAAAAAAAATTTTTTTTGATGAAGCATCAAAAAAAAGCCGAGTTTGACATTCTTATGTTCCAAAGCTATCGCCATAAGTAGAAATCTTGCTAACTTTAGGGGCATATTCTTCACTTTGGCCTCATAATTTTCACATAGGTGGAAATTGCTGATTAAGGTCATCACAGTCTCCAAGATTCCAGGAAGATACGTTTTATTTAAGTTTTGAAGGAGAATAACTGAACAAACTAAGAAGCCATAAGTTTCTTCTGAGATTTTCTTAGTCACACTAGCTGTTCTGAAATGACACTGAACTATTTCTTGGGCTGAGATGGGAATAAAGCTAAATATAATCAGGGAAAGACAACTTAGCTGTGAGAGAAATGGGGGGATATGGTTTCTTCCTATTTTTGTTTGTCCTATGTGTAAAAGACCATCTACCAAACTGTTTTGCCTTTCAGAATGGGATACACGTACAATGGGGCCACATCTGTCATGTCTTCTCGGACAAAGTATCACGGCAGAGAAGGAGATTTTAAAACCTCAAACCCTTCAAAACAGTTTGACAAAAATGCTTATGTCTAAAAAGAGAGCTGCCTTCAAGCTGTGTCTTGAGCTTGTCCTAAACGTGAACTGTTCACAAAATGATGCCATCAAGGTCCTCCTATAATTAACACTCAAACTATTTTTAAAATATGAAGAATTTGTTGATTCTTGGATGTAAATGTTCTTCTATAGTTACATACTAATCACTTTCTGTTGTGGCTTTCTATAAAAAAAAATAAACAGGCTATTTACAAGATTTGTATATATCTTATACATCTGTGTTTAACACCAAAGATTCCAGCAGTGTTCATAATGTAGCCTTCTTAATCACCCAGACCTTGCAGTATTTGTCCCTATTTTTTATGTGTTTTTCCCTTCATATATTAAACAGAGTGTATTGAGGAGTCATGACTTGTAAACAGTATGGGGGTTATCTGAGACTATTCCTCAGATGTCTGCGTTGAATGGACATGTACTGGCTGGGCAGAGCTGATTTTTAGTTGGTGACATCTGTCTGTCACCACTGTTGCTTCTCAACGGCTGCTCCAGGAAGAGCTTATGGGGCCAAGGTGCTACTGCCCACTACCCGGCGGGTCCTCCTTAAATACCTCCTCCTCTGGTATAGAGAGACCTGGATATGCTGGTCATGGCCGACTCTGAGGCTGACAGAGGAGGGCCTGGGGCCGCACAGTCCCTACCTCACTCAGAAATAATGGACCGAGTTCCTGAGGACCTGTGTCACTCAGGCCGTGTGTGGAACCAACTGGCAGTGGAGAGACAGCCTTTTTTTCAAGACGTGTTAAGTTCCTCCAGGGATCTCTGACTAAAGACAATGTTTTATTACTCAAGCCAGCCCTTTCATCTCATATCCACAGGGCAATAGTTACCTCAGCCTGTGTGTGCCCGTCGCTGCTCTAAACGCTGTGTGCCCTCACTCACTGCAGTCTCATAGCTACCCTCTGAGGTAAGTACTGTAGGACCCTGAACTGACAGAGGATGAAATGAAAGCAGAGAAGTTGAAGTGACTTGCCATAGCAAGTGACAAAACTTCAAGGACTTTGAACTGAGGCAGTCTAGGGTGAGGTATACAGTCTCAAGCTGTGGCTACAAATCGTTTAGCCGTGTCATCTGTGACTCAGGTACCCGACAATACCAGTCACAGCGTGGGTGACTGTGACATCTTCCTCAAGCCTGAAGGACTTAAAAAGGAAAAATCACATTGTTTGGAGGTGCTCACTGAAAAGAAAATGTGGATGAGTTTATTACTGATACAGTAAACTTTTTTTCCCAGACCATGATAATACTTAAATCCTTTTTCCGGAGATACAAATGAACTGAAAACCACTGAGGGAGGCTAGGTGCTATAAGCCAATGTGGGCACAGGGTTTGGTGAATGTGTGTTTAAAACAAATTTTTAAATTTTAGAGCTGTACTGGTGAAGAAAATATTTGACTGTATTGAACTATCATAGCTTCTGAAGAATTTAGGGCGAGAAGGGGTCAAAGTACAGAAAAACTGTCAGGAGCCAGAAACATTAGCCATGTGTCCATGACAGGAAATATAAGGTGATGGTCCTAAGGAAAATGAGCAAACCAATCATGACAGGACTAAACAGAATATCAGTTTTTGCGACACAGACACATAAAGATTTGGGTTACTTAGCAGACGTTCATCTTATTTCCCCAATCTTTGCTGTTTAGGAATAAAGACCTGGCAGACCCAGGACTTCGGAGTTGAGGCCTGATTTAAAGCCTGCTTTTGTCATTTTCTAGTCATATGGCTTTTGGCAAGTTATTGTATAGCTTAGTTTCTCACATCTTTAAGAAGATTAAAATAATATGTCTCAAAGTTGTTCTCATCAAATGAACTAATAAAGTACATTAAAACAGAACAAGGAGCTCAACAGATCTAAGTGGATGAGTGAGTGAACATAGGAGCCCAGGTGCCTTCTTAGGCATCATTGTAGGTTGCTTATCTGTGTCTTACTACAGTGAAGATCTGATTCAGGGTTTATTAGAGCTTTTAGAAACATATTTAAAGCAAGTATATTTACATTAAATGGCCTTCGTGGGAAGTTTTTAAAAAGCTAAGTGGCCCACAAGTAAAAAGGACCCTGGTGGGGCAGAAACATAAAAGAAAAGGTACCCTTTTAGATCAGCATAGCTACCAAGACAAGCTTAAATCCTTGAATGAAATGAGTTTAACTTGAAATCAGCTCTAATAACTCAGCCACAGTCACAAGTGTCACTGAGGGTTTTACTTGAAAGGCTGACAAAACAAAGAGGTCCAAATCCTAACAGACCATTTAGTTAAAATATTACTTTTTGGGGGGAAACAAAAGAACAGTACCACAAGGTATAAAAAAATGCAAAAAACAGTTTAGTTTATATGAACATGTTGACTATTGATAATGTCACTGTTAAGAATATAAATTAGTTTTGAGGTATTTTCTAATGTGGAAAGGGCATTTTAAAAAAGTAAAAAGAAACTACAGACACATATGAATTCAGTATGGACTCTATTCTATTCATAGTCTGATAAATTAACTGATATTTAAAATGGCTACATTTTATTCATAAAATATCCAAGGTCAAGGTTATGCTACAGAAATAGTATTTTAAGTTCTAAAACATGCTTACAGTGGCCCAAAGCTGCATATGGGAAAAGTACTTCCGGAAAATGTCGTTAATATGGGCCTAGCTATATTTTTATTAACTCTAAACTTACTTCTAGATGAAAAATAAGCTGTCTACTCTTAAAATTTCACTGATTTCCACCAATTCCATTTTGAGGATACTAACAGAACTTCTATAATAAAACACTTCCAACATGACAATGTACATAAGAAAGATTTTTTTTTTTAAAGTTTAAATGCAAACTAAAACCTGCTATCAGTTAAAAAAAAATTCACTTAAAAATTAGTTGAAAAAAATACACCTAAACACTAGAGTACTGTTCTGAAGAAAAAACTTTTTATGACTTCAGTGACACATTATTTTTAAGCAGCAGCAGCATTCTTAAACACTTTTATATGCTTCAAAATACTGTTGACAATTTGTGTGTGTTTTTTTTAACACTGCATTAGGTGGCATTAAAGAGACTCTTGTTCTCTGAGAGCCAGTTTCCTTGTTATTGCAGGAGATACTGTCAGGCAGGACAATTACAGCTGTGTAGGCAGTGCTGAAATACCACGATATCAAATACTGCTGAAGTCTGGACGGACCTCCTGACGCACAGGGTGACAGTTACACATCTGAAGAGTCACTCCAATCAGTCACAGTTACTAAGCTGCTTTTCAATGTACTGGACTCATCCTGAGGTCCTGTGTGGGAGACAAGGAGGGAGGGAGAGGAGGCCCCAGTGATTAAAGGAGCACATTGTCCAGCCAGTAATCGCTCCATAACTTCACACTGTAATTCGTCACTCGGGCCTGAGTCGGCTTGCCAACCCCACCCCCAGCTCCCACAAGCTGGGGCAAGATGCTGCGGAACGTCCCACCACCACAGGACGGCCACGTCTCTAGGTCAGCCTCACAGGGCCCTCGCGGCGAAGCTTCCACCCGGCCCCCACCTCCTGGCATTCAGCNGAGTGGTTGGGGGGATGTGGAAAAGAATTTCTCTGATTTAAAAAATACAAATTATATTTTCTGATTTTAAAAATTAAATGTGTTGAGAGGTTAAGTGACTGGACTTATTATCCAGATTCTAGCCTGGGTGGATAGGATCAATGGCAGTAAACAGTTTCACTGGTCCTTCATTCCACTGGCTACAATGCTCCAAGAAGAATCTTCCTTGGAAGAAAACAATATTTAGCACACAGATGAATACAGGAAGACAGTCAGGAAAAAAGTGGCCTCATTTAGGTATGTATCAGAAATGTAAATTTCTAGGAGGCATCTCAGTGAAGAGTATTACTTAGTAGGGGCACTTTCAAAAATAGATATTTAAAAATTTTAAAGACAAAAGATTAGAAACAAATTAAAATTTAGAAAACTAGTAAATAGATACTAATCAGTAAGTTGTTCACATTCAGTCCTTATTAAAATAATGTTTTTTAAGTCGCTCAGTCGTGTCCAACTTTTTTGTGACCCCACGGACTGTAACCTTCCAGGCTCCTCTGTCCATGAGATTTCCCAGGCAAAAATACTGGAGTGGGCTGCTATTTCCTTCTCCAGGGGATCTTTCTGACACAGGGATCAAACCCATGTCTCCTGCTTGGCAGGTAGATTCTTTTCCACTGAGCCACCAGGGAAGCTCATTAGGGTAGTCTGGTGTTTATAAAGGCTTCCGGGAGACACCAAAGCCACGAACCTTCTCCCTTTGGTCCTTTAGGGTTAGCAGCACCCCAGGCATTTGGCACTTGAGTAGAATTTGACTCATTCTTCACAGGTGGAGGAGGTTCCTTCTGTTCTCGCTCAGCTTTTCTCCCTATAGATCTGTCTTCCTCTAAGGATGATATGTCCCAGTCATCATCATCCACATCTGTACACTAAAAAAAAAAAACAAAACAAAAAACACGTGGAGAATAATGAATGTTCCCTAAAGAAACCGTGTGTGTTGGAGCCCCTCAAACAGACTGAGCCACTGACGCTAAATGGTAAGAAGTTGGGAGCCTCAGAGGGTCTCTCATCTGGTCATCTCCAAGGGTGATGAAATGGGTTTGGAAATCTGTGCTGCGAAAGCAGAGGGAACCACCTCTTTTTGTTTGTTGCCGTGGAAATGTATGTTTCCTATGCAGCAATTGAAAATTTAGAAAATTCCAGAAACTACATTGTAAAGTCAAGTCAGGATGCTCCCCAAGGAGCAGTCAGACTGGCTATGGGGCTCTTACCTCTGTGATACTAAGACATTTAACTGCAGGAGACATCACATGAGGGCCCTGCAAAAGCCGCTGGCCCCGATGGGAAAGACTGTGTATTTCTCCAGTGCACCTTCTAAGGAAGACACGGTGGCTCTTGACTGATGTGACTTTTTGTCATCTTGGACTTGTGTAACACAAATGGCACTAACTTATGAAAGTAGTTGGACAGAATGCTCTGGATTCCACAGATGAGCAGGGGAAGAATTAAATCTAATGTAAGTGAAAAATTAAAGAGCAACTACGACTGGAAGACCCAGTCAACACAGAGAAGCCCACCCAGGTGTCCATCCACAGGAGCACTTCCGAGGCTTGGTGCCAGAATTTGGAGTGCGTCCAAAGTCTCAGGAAGGGGAGCTCAGCATTGTTCTCCGCTCGAGTCACAGTCTCTCTAAAGCATGTCTTATGGACTCCAGCTGCCAAGTGGGGGTAAACTCTGAAAAGTCCCTATTTCACTTCCAGGTCATGTCTTGGTAGCAAAAAGGTTCCTGGACTCAGATCTGAAAGCCCAGATTCTATTCAGTCACAAGTTTCTGTGAGCAAACTACCTAATATCTGCCAGTGTCAAATAATACACGTGACAGGATTCTGAAAACCTGTAAAACCTGATAAGCATAGGATGTATTATTACCAGTTATCCTTTCAGTATCTTTGATTCCCTATGGAAATACAATACTGAAAACAAAATAAAAATCTCAACCTCTACTATACTAAATAATTGAATTTGTTTTACATTTCACTACAAAATACAATTATTATGATATATTCATTAAAAGATGAATTTGTGTATGTTTAACAAGTAAAAGTGATTTCACCTTTAGATCTTCTTTTAATTCTTTTTTGATGAACGTGTCAGCAACATTAATTCCACCAAGTGGCTTATTCATATTTCTATGATTTGAAACAGTCTTTTCAACTTTTCCAGTTAATGTTTTAATGGAGGTTCCTATGGGACCCATAGAAAACAGGTAAAGTTTAAAAAATTAAATCTTCAGTTCCAAAATAATCTTACAATGTGAGAGAGTCTGTGTGTTAGTTGCTCAGTTATGTCTGACTCTGTGTGACCCCACAGACTGTAGCCTGCCAGGCTCCTCCATCCATGGGATTTTCCAGGCAAGAATACTGGAGTGGGTTGCCATTTCCTCCTCCAGAGAGTCCAAGCATCGCAAATAATGCCTTTTAAAAAATCATGATCCTCTAGACTAGAAGAATAAAATCTTTATTTTAAATCAAAGAAGGATGTCATTCAGACTCATGATCAGAAACTTTTAATTTCAGTGAGGCAGCCTGTGTGAATGGATATTCATATGGTATTTTCAAAAACAATTATTTAAAAAGTTATATTTTACACAATTATAAAAACACATGGTATATACAAAATATATACAATAAACTAATTACATCTGATATGTTTAAAATATAGAATTTTTAAGTTGCATTAAACATTTTTTTTTTTTTAATGACCCTTTTGCCTCTTCTCCTTAGCAAATTATCAGCAATCACCAACTTGGACCTCACATTCCTTGAGAATTGCCCTGTTTCCAAAAGGCAGCATGGTGTGTTAGAACAGTTATTCTCAAGGACACACAGTATTAAGGGGTTGAATTGTGTCCCAAATGCGTATGTTGAAGTCCTTACCCCCATTACTTCAGAAGGTGACCTTATCTGGAGACAGGACCTTTAAAGAAGTAATTAGGTTAAGGTGAGGCCATTAAGGAGGGCCCTAATCTAACACAACTGGTGTCCTTGGACAAGAGCGGGAAATTTGAACACAGAGGCACCCACAGAGAAAGTCAATGTGACGAGACATAAGGAGGAGACAGCCATCTACAAGCCAAGGACAGAGGCACAGAGCAGGACCTCTCCTCATAGCTCTCAGAAGAAACCAACCTTGCCACCTTGATTGTGGTGGCAAGCTCACAGCTCCTGTGAGACAGATTCTGTGGTTTAAGCCACACAGAGTGTGTTCTTCATTATAGCAGCCCTTGTGTTTGTTACTAATACACACAGACATCCCCAACCCCTTCCTCTCCTTCCACCTGAACATCAACTACTTGCTAAGCCCCTTCCATTTTTCCTCAGGCATCAACAATTTTTAGATTAACCCCATACTTTCTTTCCTGGTGGCTCAGATTGTAAAGAATCGGCCTGCAATGCAGGAGACCCGAGTTGGATCCCTGGGTTGGGAAGATCCCCTTGAGAAGCGAATTACTATTCACTCCAGTATTCTTGCCTGGAGAATTTCAAGGACAGAGGAGCCTGGCAGCCTACAGTCCATGGGGTTGCAAAGAGTCAGACAAGACTGAGGGACTAGCACTTTCATTTTACTTTCACACAGTTTCCTCGAGAACTTTCTCAGCTCAGATGCCCAGTATGGAGAGTTGAGAACCACTGTCGTCCACAGAAGCACTGTGGTTGAGAACCACTGTCCTAAAATCAAAATTTCCAGGTGGATTTTCAGTAAAGGAACACTTACCTGTGGGCTTGGGGGAAATATCAGAGTCCTCAATTTCACTTCCCTCCGTCCAGTCAGTGTCGCTTTTGACGGTGCTCTTTACGAAACTACTCTTGTTGCTTTTAGAGGCCAGCACAGGAAGTACATCTGGGGAGGCGAACGCCTGGATGAGGTCGTCAGCATCGAGCTCCTCCTCGGAACTGAAGGGAGGAGTCCTAAACAAACCAAAGTCCAAACAGGGGGCGCTGTTTCCGTGTTTCAGGATTTACACACAATATGCCCCTTAAAGAGGTCGGAACTTTCTCAAGAGAGCTGAACAAATGCGTGCGTGGCCACAGAACAAGATGGCGGCCAGGCTGAGGACTTACTATGCAAAAGGCGGAATGGTCATTTCAAATTTACATCTGCCAACCACATGCCACAGGGCCTATTTACCAAAGTGGACTGAAGTTAGGACATTACTCCTCTAAACTCAAGTTTTGTATTTTTTTAATATCAGTTTTTATACACCTAAGAAAAATATTTTATAGTGGAAAAAAATATTTCTGGGATAAAACTATGCTGTCTTTTAAAATAGTAACATTTGCAAAGAGTCCACACGACTGAGGACACACGCAGGCATGCATGCATGCATTACTTAGAGCTGACCTTTATACTGTACCCTACCAAGTACTTTTATATATGACTACACACACTCATTTGTAGTATCATGTAAATCATCACCCCATTTTATTTATTTTTTTTCATTTTTTTTTCCCATTTATTTTTATTGGTTGGAGGCTAATTACTTTACAACATTGCAGTGGTTTTTGTCATACATTGAAATGAATTAGCCATGGATCATCACCCCATTTTAAAGTGAAACAAATTCAGAGCAGTATCTATTTATTTAAAAAATATTCACTGAGCACCTAAATTCCACACAATGTTCAGTTAAACCACATCCCATGAAATAAAGCTCTTCCCATGAGATTATTACATGATAAGTGCTTCTGAAGGGTGAGTTATCATTTATAGTGTCTTTATTATATTTATTCTCTCTACTATGAAATTCAATTATCATAAAATTAGTTTTACTCATAATTAATAACAATGATATACCTACAACTTATTGAGTACCCACAAGTACCAAGCACTGAGGCCAAGTCCTTTTCGTATGTTCTCATTTTGATTTGTAGAACTATTCTGTGAAAGAGGAAGCACCATCCCATATTACAGATAGAAAAACTGAGGCTTAAAACAGGTAATCAACTGAATCAGTGTCACACAGTTAAGGAATGACTGAGATACGGTTCTCAGTATCCTAAACGAGCCTAAGAGTGTAAGGTCTAAGGCTGTTAACTACTTCCACAAGAAGCTGGAACACTAAAATTCTACCCAGATACACCATCATGGATCCAGCTACTAAAAAGCAACATCATGCATTTAATTTATCATGCTTATTGAAAATTTATAATGTATAAAAGTTTATAATTTATCATTCTTATTGAAAATTACTAAACTAGGCAGGGGTGGGGGTGGGGAATAACAAACATGACTCAGGTGTGGTCCCACTTGTTAATGGAGGCCACAAGAGCTATTGACTTGGGATAAAGAAATGAAGGTGTAACAAAGGAATCACAGATTAAATATGATATGTAATAATTATGGTTCTAGTGAACCACAATGAACATACTAATTTATAGTGAAAGGAATGTTCGGTGAAAAGAACTTTTAAAAACCACCTTTCCCTGCTCCCTCAGTACTCACGCAATAGTGGAAGACCTCCTGGGAAAATGATCTTCTGTGGCATTTTTCTTAACTCTAAAAGCAAGAGAAAAATATTCCCAGCATGAGCAAATCATGTAATTTAAAACAGAGTTCTATGGAATTGGTGATTTTTGCCTTATTAGAGGGTGAGCAGTTATGAGTCTCCCCGAACTGAGAGAAGGGTAGGCATTCCAAGTGTAATTCTCTGTTGGGTCACACATTGCTGTGGGCTGAATGCTTGTGGCCTCCTAATATTCCTGTGTTGAAGCCCTAGCCCTCAGTGTGATGGTATCTGAAGATGGGGTGATTTGGTTTAGATGAGATCATGAGGATGGGGCCCACACTGAAAGGAATTAGTGCCCCCGTAAGTAAAGGAAGAGAGACCAAGCCTCTCTTGTTCTCCTTGGCAAATGAGGACACAGTAAGAAGCTGGCCATCTGTGAGTCCTGGGACAGAAGCCTCCCAGAACCTATGACTATGCTGGCTGGCACCCTGATCTCAGACTTCCACCGTCCAGAAGTGTTAGAAAATTTATTTCTGTTGTTTAAGCCACCCAGTCAATGGTATTCTGTTATAGAAGCCCAAGCTGAGACAAATATTTTTTTAAAAAATTAGAGTTGAAAATACTCACTTTGGAACAGATGTTCTATCAGAAAAAACAGCTCTTTGTCTAATCAGCTGTCTGCTTTTGGGAGGAAGGTGTATTGCTTTAGGTAGTTCTCCAGTTGAAAGGGTGTCCATTTGAGAAGCACCGTACCTGTCTGGAATAGTAGTGTCATTTGTGAGTCTCCACTGCATGAAAAGCAGAAGAAAATGCTACAATATTGTCTACATTGGCACAGAAACAAACAAGCCCATCTCAAGGGTCTAGAGTCCACACTACAGGAGGTTTTTAATTGTAAAAACACACACACAAAAAAAATTGTAAAAAAAAAATCTAAAATGCAACATTTAATGGTTCAAACAGTAACAGAATTGCCGATTAAGTGGCAAGGTTTGTGAACCATATAAAATCATGAAATGGTTGGTCTATTAATATTTCTGCAGACATGAAATGGCAGTGGGTCACAGGCTTACCTGTGGACAGCAGTGTTCTCTCTTCAATTTTACAGCTGACCTGATGTTTAAGGAATTCTCGAATTTGCTGAATGTTAGGTATTTGTCTTTCTCGCTCTTGTCTTGTTGATTCCACAGTTCTTAGCACTCTATTCAAGTGATCACTTGGAATACCACGTATATCCTGAAGGAACAAAACATTAAGAAATTATCCTTTGATGCTTTTCATTTCATGAATGTTTGTCTGCATTAACCATGTCAATCTTTCATCCTTACTGCTGCATGTAAGACGGGGATGCCCTGAACCAGCCTCAAAAGGCACTCAAGGTGCAACGGGACACATATAAGTGTGTAAGATTATACGTGGCTGGTTAGGGATACTATGCATTTGGGATCAGGACTGAATTCATGGAAGGCATGTGAGTGACTGATTATGACTGATTAACCAACAGTGCCAGATGCGTGATAAAGACTAAATGAGCTTTTCTGCCCATGGACGCCACCGAGAAAGCATCGTTGAAGACTTCCGCACCTCCACTGCCGTCATGTCTAAATCAGAGTCTCCCAAAGAGCCTGAACAGCTGCGGAAGCTCTTCATCAGAGGATTGAGCTTTGAAACAACTGATGAGAGTCTGAGGAGCCATTTTGAGCAATGGGGAACGCTCACAGACTGTGTGGTAATGAGGGATCCAAACACCAAGCGCTCCAGAGGCTTTGGGTTTGTCACATATGCCACGGTGGAGGAGGTGGATGCGGCCATGAATGCAAGGCCACACAAGGTGGACGGAAGAGTTGTGGAACCAAAGAGGGCCGTGTCAAGAGAAGATTCTCAAAGACCTGGTGCCCACTTAACTGTGAAAAAGATTTTTGTTGGTGGCATTAAAGAAGTGTTACAACAGATTTGTGAACTCAGCCAAGCACAGTGGTGGCAGGGCCTAGCTGCTACAAAGAAGACATGTTTTAGACAATACTCATGTGTATGGGCAAAAAACTCGAAGACTGTACTTGTGACTAATTGTATAACAGGTTATTTTAGTTTCTGTTCTGTGGAAAGTGTAAAGCATTCCAACAAAGGGTTTTAATGCAGATTTTTTTTTTTTGCACCCATGCTGTTGATTGCTAAATGTAATAGTCTCATCATGACGCTGAATAAATGTCTTTTTAAAAAAAAAAAAAAAGACTGAATGAATCCACAAGGGCTGGAGGAATTCAGAGATTCGAGCCATCAGAGGCCTCAGTGGCCCAAGAAGGCTTAAGAGGAAGGCTGGGCTGTGCCTTGAAGGATGGGTGGATGAAACAAGTAAAAAGAAGGGTGGGATCAGAGATGGGGGCACCTTGTGGGGAAGGCAGGCAATGAGGCAGAGACAGTCAGGGTGTCCAGGGATTAATGCTACAGAGAAAACAGGTGAGGAGAGCAAAAAAGGAGACTGATGCCAAAATGAAAAACTTCAAGGCTAGTTATGCCACAGGTAAGAGAAAAATCATCAAGCTTTCAATGATGAAAATGCCATAATTTAAGAGGTGATTTGAGAAAATTCTTCAGGATTTGAAAGGTTATCTAAAGAAGAAAACCAGTTAAAGAGCAATTTATTCATTTATTCAATATCAGTGTCACACACACACTCCCATCTCCTCCCTCACCTTTCCCTGAGTCTTCCTCATTTCAGGAAGTGGCCCTACCACCCATCCAGCTGCCCAGGGCAGAAATCTCCATCATCAGATTGACTGCCACCTCCAAGCAGTTTTCTCTGACCTCAATTATTCAATCCCTTCTACTTTTCCTTCATTTCACATCCTATAATCATTATGGATCTATCACCTGTTTTGTGTGAGCAGGTGTTCAACGCCTGTCTTCCTATACCCTGATGCTGGATGCAAAGACACAATTCTGTACAAATGTCATTTCTTCCTAAATAATACACAACATTTAAAGCAATTCCAATCAGAATCCCAGCAGGGATTATTTTGGAACTGCAGCAGCTGTTTCTAAAGTTCACTGGAAAACAAAATACAAAAGAACTGCCAAGAAATTTTTGAAATAAGACTAATAAAAAGGCATGGCCTGTAGCAGATACTAAAATACAGGACAAAGTTACTAAGATTAAACCAGTATGGTATTAGCAAACAAATACCAAAAAATTCAAAGGATAAAATCACTGAAAGTCCAAAAATAAATCCAAATGTATGTAAAGATGTCCTTTATGATAAAACTGCTATTTCAAACAAACTAAGAAACGGTGGGTTATTCAACAAAAGATCCAACTGATCCAACTGGAAATAAGTTTAGATCTCCAACTCAGTGTTTCCAAACTTAAGTGTTAAAGCCCAGATAGACAAAAAAAGTAAACAAAAAACTATGCATTAGGTTAAAAAAAAAAAGGGTGTTTTAATACTCATAGGATAAAAGTAAATGTCCCAAACAAAACATATAACCCCAAAACCATATGCAGCTACAACAGGAGCTCTCATACACTCACAGGGATACTGTCAATGTTTACACTTTGGAAAATTATTTGGCTATACCTACTAAAACTAAACGTGTATAGTCTTAGAAATTTCAATCCTAGATATACATCCAAGAGAAAGGAATGTCCATGTCCACCAAAAGACAGTACAAGAATGTAAAGCCAAAATGCCCCAAACTGGAAATCTAAATGGCCCTTAACAGGAGAACAGGTAAAATCTAGTGTATTTATACAACACAATATTATAGTACAAACTACTGTGAAGTGAAATAATACGAATGAATCTTAAAGAAAAAGTCATAAGCAAAACAAATGACACAGATACTACATGGTGTAGGGTTCCACTCAGATGAGGTTTAAGAACAAACAAAACTAAATCTGAACAGTCATTGCCTCTGGTTGGGGAGTATGAAGCAACAGCAACTTAGAAAAGCCAAAGACAGTCTTCTAGGATATTGGAAATGATGGATTTCTTGACCTGGGTGGTAGTTACAGATCATATACACACACACCCCACATACAGGCATGCAAATGTGTATGTATACATCTTTGTATACAGACATACATTCAGATACACACAAATTTTAGCACATGTGCAGATACACATATACACATGTATGCATACAGATCCATGCACCTATATGCACATGAATACACAATATCTACACACAGATCAACATACACAAACACAGCACACGCATCTGCACACATAAACATGCATGCAGTGCATGTACACAATGCACACATGTCCATGTGCACAACTGCATAAACCACCCACACATGTATGCATACTTTTGCATTACACATACACACATGCACATGTACTATGTATACTCATGCAGAAACAGGAATATATAAATTCCGTTTGTTCAATTAAGTTTGTGTATTTTATGTATGCAACTATTCAGTCTGGCAACAACATGAAATACAATTCATTCACCCATTCATTTAATAAGTGCTGCTGATTTTGTAATAAACATAGTTTGGAGCTAACATCAGAATGTAGGCAGCTCTGCAACTGCCTACAGGCAAATCCTGGCTCCTTCATCACTAACATGTGACCTGAAGCAATGACTTCACCTTTGCAAAATGCAGATGAACTAACTGCCACTTATCTCAGAGATCAATCTCTATGTTTAAATGAGTTAACACTGGGAAAGCTCTCTGAAAGGTGTCAGGCACACAGTGAATGCCAGCTAAGTGTTTAATGAATCATGTCGCATTAGGCGCTGGTCTCCAAATGTAACAGAACTGACATGTCACCTCCTCTTCTCTGATCATTTATTATTTAGAAAACAAAATAAAACGAAACCAGTAAATATTCCCAAAGTGGGTGAACTTACTGCATTAATCCCCAAGGTTTCCAGTTTCTCCACCAAACTCTGTTCCAAGACAGTTCTTATTTCTTTAGTGAGGGAAGGGTTATTCTTCAAAGTTTTCCTTATATGTATCTTGTTGTCATTGAATTTCTGTTCATTTTCTCTTCCTAAAATAAGGTTTTTATAATGTGTTAAAAGGAATTAAACAAATGCATTAAACCTCTAAGCAGAAAATGGCAAAACACAACTTCTAAACAGCAAGCAAGCATTTATGTTTTCAAGTTTTTGAATATTTTAGTCATTCAGCACAATATATAATCCTTAAGTATTATAGCTTTTAAAATTATCTTAGGCCTGCTTCAAAACTTCAGGATCTTCAGACTTTTTCTTGATTACTCAACCAAAGTATAGCTAGATAAGTAATGTGAGCAATAAGTCTCTAGAGAAGCAAAATGGGAAAAAAAAAAACTTATTGAGAAATTTAATGTTTTATCCTAAAATTATTTTTACTACTTCCTAAAGAAATCATTTCTCCTAAATCTAGTCAGAATTAGGTATCATCTAATGAAGAAAAAGCCTTATTTCTTTTAAATAATTAAGTTTTATGTTATATATTTAGTGCATGTTAAGTTCACATAAAATTTCAAAATGTGAAGATTATCATCTCTCTCAAAATACTTACCAAAATGAAAAAGAAATTAACAAAACTCTTAGGAAAAGTATACTTTGTTTACAACAACCTAAAGTTAGAAACAAAAAATAACAGGCCAGAGTCTCTTAATGTGTCCTTCCTTATTCCTTTTATTTCCTTCCAGAAAAAAGTGTCTAGTTTAAGAAGGTTTGGAGAAAGGGGCAGGACTGTATGACCTTGAACAACTGAGTACCTATGTCAAAGGAAAATGAAGGCTTAGGAAACAGTCTCAGCGTTGGGCAGTTCAGACCCCTAGTGAACACCACGGGCAGATCTGGGAGAAGGTGGTGATGGTACTATCGTCACTTTGAAGCCTGTTCTCCTAACAAAAGCATTTCACCCAAAGAAAGTGGCACCAAATGCCACTACCCAGGTCTGGGGCTTCAGGCAGATCCCCACAGAGACTCCACTCTTTCAAGGTCTCACCTGCCTCAGCAGATGGGATTTTTAGGTTCCCATGGCACGTGGATTTGCAGAACATCTTAACAACATGCCTTTTGGTTAAGATGCTTTCTAAACACTAGCTCAATTCCAATAGTAAAGAATATTTCTGTTCATTATTAACAAATTTCAGGCAAAATGAGCCACATTATTACTGGTCCATTAAATAGGAGGGAAAAACCTGCACGATGATGCTTTTCTACACTTTGCTACTGTGGCTTGCTAAATCAAAATTATGAAATTTTATATGAGTCTATATGGATAAAAGTCAGACGTAATCTTAAATTTTATATTTTTAGCATTTATGCTGCTGTTTCCCCAATATTCTGAAACTACCAAAAGAAAAACAACTTCTGCCCTAGGAACTGAGTCCATCAAAACCTAGAGGGCTTAGCTGCAGTCAACGGCTGTCGCTGACTTTGGCTGCTGGTTGGTCATCAAGTCTGCAACTGTCTAGGGCTGAAAGTAAAAAGAAGTACCGAGAGAGCCTGGAAGTCATAGAGCTACTATTGAAATAGATGCACCTCCTGTCTCAATTGGGCAAAGATAATTCTTTGGCCAGCATCTCAGATATAAAAGAAATAACACAGAAGCACAGTCTGAAGCGAGGCTCTGGGACATGGGGCCACAAGCAGGGGTCAAGTGATACCCAGAACAGACTGGCCACAGTCTAGAAGAGTTGCAAGGCCTTTGATAGAGGTAACTGAATTCATTTGCTGGCTGGTCCAAGTTAACTTTCAGCCCTGATGACAAGTTCATTTTGATGCCTAAGTTCTCCCAAATGATGGAAGATTTCCCTCTGTCCTTAAATTCCTTCATAAGTGGGTGCTCACTTTGGAAAGTCATTTGTGAATAATTAGAAAAACTTTTATAGGAAGAAGTCTTATGAGCCTGGGTCTGGCAAGACAGAAGCAAGAGAAAGAAGGTAGAATAGATAGGAAAAGATAATCAAGTTTTTCTGTAAAGGTGAAATGAATGACTTGAAAGATGATCAGAACTCAAGATTTTAGTTAAAGCACATATTGTCTCACCAAGATCAAGACAAACTATTCTAGAAATCAGCATTTCCTCTAATTAAAAAATGGAAAGCAGGCCCAAGCAGATGCCCAGGCTAATGCATAACAGTCCACACATGTAATCAGTTATATCAGACTTATTAACACACCACACCATTCATGGTAAGCAAATAATTGTAGCATAAAGCACGGAGTTAAACAAAACAAAAAGCAACACACAACAGAATTTCTGAGTTGGAAGGGGCTTGATAGTCTAGTACTCAATTTCCTCATTAGTCACAGGAGGACTCTAAAACCAGAGAGGTAGAGAATTCCCCAAAGACCATTCTACAAAGGCTGGACCTGTTTGCCTTCCTCCATCACTTTGTTCTTTGCATTAAACCATGGAAAACAGAAAACCTGGACGTTAGTCCCAGCCACTGTCACTAATTAAACTCAATGACCTGGAGCAAGCTCCTAATCCCCTTGTGTTCCAAGTTTCTGAAAAATAAAATAACCCCTAAGATCCCTCCTGGCCCTTGCATTCTAACATCCAACAGAAGTGAGATCAAGTCTGCCTCAAAGGATGAGTTAATTCTTGGTAAAAAGCTGTAGTGTTTTTGCAAATCACTGCCAAAATTTAGCTGCACAGGCATTTGTCTGCAAATGCTAGTACAAGCTGAGGAATTTATTGATGGCAATTAATTTGCTGCTAGCCGGCTGGCTCCATGGAGGCACTAAAAGATACAGTCACTGGTTTCTGTAACAGTGCTCTGGGACTCAGTTGATCCCAGTGGTCCTCAGCGCTCACCCATCTCCACCAGAGCTGTGTCTGAACACATGGTGGGTGGCAAAGATGAGTTTCCCAACTCGGCTCCCTAACTGTGGCAACAGCCAATGATGGTATTTGCCATCAGCAATGCAAGCCTTACATTGTCTGAGTAGAAGAAACCTAAAAGAAGTCCAGGCAGAATATGCAATGGGTGAAACTTGGAACTGAAACAGTGATGATGGACAAACCAGGATTCCTCTTGGAACCTAGCTGACTCATTTCTAATAGTACGAACTATGTAATTGGAGACACTGGTTTCAAAATTTTGGACCCTATCTATGAACCTCCTGCACATTTCATAGGAATTCTTCCAAGAATAAGGGATCTTGTGTTCTATATATCAATAAATGATACTTATGAAAGAGCAAGCATGTTACATGCAAGAAAATGAAAAAACAGATCATGCAGATGTTACAGATATGCTTGATCTAGTTCCTTCTCAATCTGTATCCTTATACAAAAAAAAAAAATTTGGGAAAAATCTAAAGAACACAGAAGTTATAACAAACATTAAGAATTTACATATTATAATGTATAATTTTACTTTTTTTCCTAACAAAAATTATACAACCACAGCCCATATAAATATTAACAATTTGCTTTCTCCTGAAGAAGTAAAATATGGTAAAGCATTACTAAGGAGAAAATTATGATAAACTGATCCAAATATAATTGTTTTAAGATCATTATAAAATATTATTAATAATGTAAGTAAGCATTCACAGACTTTAAAAATTAGCTGACAGGAAATAATTTTTATTATTACTGCCAAATAAAGTGAGGAAGAAGTAATCATTTTAATTAACTCCCCAAACCTGTAACAGCTCTCAGATTCTGCCATTGAGATATTCTGCATGTAAATATTCCACATTCAGAGCCTAGACATTATGCCTTCCTTGCTATTAAAAACAATTTTTGAAATGGGCACTTTACTTATTCATTTGGTAGATTCAGGTTATGAGAAATGACTACTATGGTCTTAATATTTTTGTATAATCTGGCACACAACTGCGTCAATTTGTCATCTGATCAGAAAATCTTGGCATTGACATAATGGCTTAAATTTTTTTTCAAGTTCCCTGACATAGAAAATTTCTTACTCATATGCTAAAAGACAGTAAAGCAGGGTGGAAATATAACAGCACATTATGGTAACAGGATGCCAGAATACTACAGACAGATTGGAAATGTAATCCAAACCTAAATGCCTTCCTAATTTTGATACACTACAATAAAACTCAAGTACTTTCAAAGCTTGGGTTTTAGCATCTAAATGTGATTGATGCAGATATAAACCCTGATCAAGCTCATTGTTACCTTTTTCTTCCTCTGAAAGTTCTTCTATTGGTTCCAGTATGTGCGATGAGAATGCCTGTTCTATTAATGAGGAAAAATAAGAATAGTACAGACAGGACAACAGCAAAGTAAAGTTAGTTCCTTTCAAACAATTTTGAAAGACATCGTTCCATAGTACTTTAACCAGGCCTGAAATAGCAGGCCTGAAATGGGAAAAAAATATTAAGGCAAGGCAGTCAGTTAAAGCTGGTTACTTTTCCACAGTATCTGCCCTTTCTATGTATTTTCTATTAACTTCACTCTCAGGAAATTATATTTTTAAATAATTAGGTTAAAATTTCTTGCTCATCAACTTAGTGCCAGACATGATTTCTTTAAGGCACAAGTACACAACTACAAAAGTTCTTCACTTATCCCTAAAAATATTTTTGACACAGATATATTTTCCTTATATCATATATATATATATATTTCTCTATATCTTATATATATTTTCTTATGTCTTATATATATTTCCTTATATTTTATATTTTTCCTTATATCATATATGTATATTTTTTCTTTATATCTTAATCAGGTAGTTAAATGGAAAATTACTGAAACTATTTCAATTTCCAAAGCTAAAAACATAAAAAATTCCCAGAGCCCTGGGGTTCCCACTTCTTTTTAGCCCCAGGGCCTTCAAGTAGAAGGACTAAAATAGTAGAAGGAAAAGGAGAGGTCTCCTGAGGTCAGCAGGAGGACTTAGACCCACTCTCATACACCTCTGTGTCCCTAAACAACGTTTCATGTGCTCTCAGAGAATCAATGGGGTAAAGCTGTGGACAGATGATAGATGAAGGTAGGCTCTTCCCAATCCTACCCCAGAACAGTGAGCGGGCAGATGTAGTCTCTGGGTGACTTCCCGGGGAAATGTCCCCATGCACACACAAGAAAACCCGGGGCAGCATGGATAAAGCAAAGCCCATCCATCAGCAGAGGCAATAAGAGGTCAGGGTTTGGCTGAAGGTATAACTAACCACAGCAGTAAGGCATTAGGCACAGAGTGAAATGCAACCAAAACTCTGGCTTAGGAAGTGCCTGGTTCACTTATTTTCAGCCTGGAGGCTGATACAGGTTGCCTGAACAGAGAGCTGTTCATTGGCTCCCACAGACAGAAGCCATTTCATTCCACCACCAGACCCCAGGGTGGGTGACTGGGGAGGGTAATAGTGGCCAGCTTCCAGGCACAGAGACCTAAGTGCTTTGCGTGTATTACCTCAGATTTACTACCTCCTACTTTGAAGGCCTTCTAATTTATTAAAGGGTATTTCTGGTACTCTATTTTAGGCATATACAAATATATATACATACACACACACACACACACACACACATATATATAATAGCTACATACAAAAAGATATATTTAAGTGTTTATAACTAGGCTCTCACAGCTAGTTCAGCAATATAGTCAACATCTCTAACGCTGACTATATGGGAGAAATGCATTTTAAGCTACTTTCAAATGAATTTTCAGCACACAGTCTATCAATAAATAGGATTCCACTTTAATTCTAAAACATAAACATGGCCCCACCACAAAGGAGCATGTGATTTGAACCCTGTAACACAAGTGCTGAACACCACAAATGTGCTTTTGAATTTATTATTCAGCATCAAAATTTTAAAGTTATATGGATGAAGAAAAAAATGTATAACTATGGGTGGTGGTGGATGTTAACTAAACGTGGTGATTATTTTGCAACATATACAAATATCAAATCATTATATTGTATACCTGCAAATAATATAATGTTATGTGTTAACTGTACTTCAATAAAAAGTTTAAAAATTAAAAAAAGTAAGGTTACACAAGTATTCTCCTAATTTGAACTGCTGAAAACAGAGATCTAAGAGGATAGCTAATATTTTTTTAAGTCACATGGTTTATACTGTATTGTAATTTCTGAAAAAGACAAAAATAAAAGTTATGAGGAAAACTTTTATAAAATCTTACAATATCATAATATACATACTTATTATATCATAGGGATAATCCTGTGCTTTATCTCTCTTGAGTCAGGATTAATGGTCAAAATCTGACATTTCCTGCAGTGGTACAGAAGGCAGGGGAAGGACAGATTCCTGAATCTGGACCCCTACAATAATAAAGGCTGAGGAAGTGAGGATGACCAGACCCCAGGGCACCCAAAGCAGGCTGATGTCCCAAATATGGGATGGAAGACCTGCCACCCTCATGCTTTATAAGCCACAGGTCCAGCCTCCAGTTCCTGTCCTGAGCTGAGACCTCCAGGGTAAGAGTTGAAACGCTCAGAGGCTTCCAGAGAAATCCTTATGTCAGTCTCCCACCATTACCTCCAGAAGAAAAACTCCCAGTTCTTCACCCAGCCCTTTCTCCACTGGCTGACTTTGTTGGACTTCATCGCCCCACCCTAGAAGCTAATGTTTAGCTCATGCATGCTCACTGACTTCTGCTCCAAAGGCCTTGCCTCATCTACCCTGACCACAGCCCAGTGGAGTAGCCAAGACTCTTCTCCCCACTGGCAAACAAGGAAACCCAACGGTCTCACGATTCAGCCATGAATCCAGACTATCTGCTTCCAAACTCCAGACTCTTGGCCATGAAGCTCCAATGCCTTCCCACTGGTGCCCGTCAGGTTTGTCTTGCAGACATCGTCCAGCCAGTACCTGAGCTCATCACGTTCTGGCCTCTCCCTCCCCTTTGCTCCCCAGTCATTCGCACAGCCTTTCCACCAATCCCACAGAACAGCTGTTATGTTCACTCCCTCCCATTTCATCACCGTAACCCCAATCCCTAGGTAAGCAATCTCTTGTTGCTCAGTTGTGTCCGACTCTTTGCAACCCCACGGACAGTAGCCCGCCAAGCTCCTCTGTCCATGGGATTCTCCAGGCAAGAATACTGGAGTGGGTTGCCATTTCCTTCTCCAGGGGATCTTCCCGACCTAGGGACTGAACCCACATCTCCAGTTTGGCAGGCAGATCCTCTACCACTGCGTCACATGGAAAGCCTGACAAAAAGAAGAAGAGACCATTCAAGGACAGACTAGGAATCTCTCAGACTGTGTCTAAAACCGCCAACTGATCTCCCAGCTCAGATTCTTCGTCTTCCTGCAGCCCAGCTCTCCAATCCTGCCATGCTCAGCCTCTGAACATTCAGCAGCTATGAAATGCCACAAGAGCAACCCAAACAGCTTCAGTCCATCACTCAGTGGTTGCCATAAGCAACCTCAACCAGCATCCCTCCAATCTCTTCTGCACATTCTCCACTCTGTCAACTAATTCATCGGCACCAATAATTCACATCAGTGCTCTCCTGCCACCTTTTGCTGCTACTTTTTGCCTGTCTCAGAGGAAAGGAGCAGCCAGCACCCCTCTGCCTAGGGCAACCCATATCTTGTAACTGCTCAGCTCGACTCTGGACAACTCCAAAATGCCCCTCCCAGCTCTAAAACCCCCAGTCAGATCTGCTGAGACCTCTCCTGCCGCTGCATCTGGGATCAACATCCCTTTAACGCCCAACCCTGCTTCTCTCACGGGTGTCGTCTGAGAGCAGTGCCCAAATCTCACCTGCAAACCTCCACCCCGGAGCCTGTGTTTCGGGGAACCCAACCTTAGCTGGTGAGTAATCATGAGATTTTTCATGGTGAAGGACCTCATCAAGGTTTGAGATGGAACAAAAGGAAAGACAGAGAGGAAGCTGGGCTAATGAATGTTGTGCAATCTGTGACCAACCCTCCCTGTCCCCTCCAACCCCCTGCCCTCCCCCCCACCAGCACCTGGGGAAGCTGCCACAGCTGGGGGCAGAGGTAGTGGGCCTCCGCCAAGCCGGCTCCTCACTCCTAACCATTGAAATGCTCACAAATCGGCTTTGATCCCAATCCAAGGGCTGTGGGCCTCATGCCAGGCCAGCATTTAAAATGAGCATTTCAATCGCAGCAGACGCCAGCAAGGGAGATTGGCTGATTCATGCAGCCCCAGCCTGGGCAAGTCAGACTCCACATGGAACACGATGCTCTAGAACTGACAGATTTGTTGGGACCCTGGAATTAGCCCCAAATAACATTCCATGCCAACCATATGTGTCCCTGATCGGGCACCAAAAATATAAAACAACGAAAACATGGCCCTTGTATAATGTCAGATAGGAGGCTAGCAATAACCAAGGAGAAACAAAAGAAACTAAAACACATGTTGACATCCAAGAAAGAAGTAGCCAGCAATGCCTTATAAAAATCAACTCTAAAAAATGAGGCAACAGAGAGATATTAACCTGACATCAATAATATGAATAGACAAAAATTGTTAGAAATAACTTCCTCATATATTCAATATTAAAGAAAGTTTATGTAGGTCAAACATACAGTTTATCTCTGTTACTGGTTCAAAGGAAAAAAAACCCTGCATGTCCTAACACTTGAAAATAATAACATCCAATATGTGAAGAATTTATGCATTACGTATTATAAACACGCCCAAGGGAACCAATCCCCCTGAGATAATCTTAGGAAAAAAATCAGGGGCAGTAAAACACTTCATGAATCAGTCAGTGAGTAAAAAGAATAATTATAAAAGGCCATCATACATGAACCACAATATTTCTCAAGACAAAATGTCCAACTCGACTGGTCATGGATTTAAGTCCAAAGTAAAAGGCTAAATAGAGAAGTGGAATGAAATAATCATTAGATTCCAGAAACATTTGTAGTTAAGACAGGAAAAAGATGGCCCCCCTCCCACTTTAATTCACTTAACATACAGCAGATTACAGGAAAACAATATATTGAAAACACCATAAAAACTGCTAGCACCTTAGTTGTATAAAAGTATGTTTATAAATATTCACCCTGTCTACTAGATCATGTTAATAACAATTATTACCCTGTGACCTGGTCTAAGACCTGCATCCTGGCAGCAATTTGATCCAGGGGTTCCTACTTTTTCCTTTGGTTTCCATCACGTGTCTTTCCTAGATTTTCTCAACCAATCCCTGAAACTGTTTGCTTAAAAAAGGTGACTAGCTGCCACATTGAAAGTTATACAAACAATCACATATGCCCTGTGGCATGTGCTGGTTGGCTGGTCTAGTAGAAAGTCACCCTCTTACCTGATACCTACTACTTTCCACCAAAAATCACAAATCCTCCAAGGAATATTCAGAGTTAAAAATCTCTACCTGTGAGCCCAGCAATAGATACATTTTCTACTTTATGACTGGTAGGTTTGACTAGTTCATAGTAACATTACATAGGAAGACTGCAGTTTTATTAACTGTTTTGAATACATCAAAATGTTTTTTTTTTGCATAAATAACCCCCACAGAAGCACTTTTCAGTTAATAAGTTATCTAACTCAGATGGAAACTGTATATAAAACGTTGAGACTTTGCTGAAACTTACCATGTGCCATTGTTAGACTTGACTTCGCATCCAGTGTCTGGGGGGCTGGAGTATTCACTGAAAAAGCATAAAAATGTAATTACAGGGTCCTGTATTTACAGCATCAGCATCTGAACATGAGGATAAACTGAGTATTCATCAAACTAGTCAAGGTATATTAATATACAGATCATGAGGGAACAAATGTTTCAAATAACAGACAGCACCAACTAACCTAAACCAAATTTATAACAATTTGAAATAAAATCCAGCCTTTTAAAATCTACAAGTCAGTGGGTTTTAATACAGTCACAGAGGTGTACAGCCATAACCACTCTCAAGTTTTTGAACATACTCATTACANCATTTAAACAAATTAAAAAAAAAACCCTAAGATATCCTACACATCATTTGCGTGACATGATGTGAGTAGTCAAATGTTGATCAAGTGTTGGGCAAATGAGGGTCACAATTTTCGGTGAGATCTAACATTGCCACGTTTGCTCTGCCGTGAAGAGCGGCAGCCACCACTCTGCTGTCCCGATAGTGAGCCAGAAGCTCTGCTCTAGGACTTACCGGGTGGTTCAGCGGGTAAAGAACCCACCTGCCAAAATAAGAGATGCGGGTTTGAGCCCTGGGTCAGGAAGATCCCCTGGAGGAGGGCATGGCAACCCACTCCAGTATTCTTGCCTGGAGAATCCCATGGACGGAGGAGCCTGGCGGGCTACAGTCCATGCGGCCACAAAGAGTTGGACAGGACTAAAGCAACTTAGCATGACTGTTCCAATACTGTGCTAAGTATAATTAAAATATAAACGATAATAATTGAACGTCTTTTAATTTTTCCATACTTCTCTGGAATGCTTCTGTTCTCCCCTTAGCTCTACTCTTGCCCTCTCCTCCTCAGCACCTCTCAACCTCTTCAGCTTCCAGGACCAACATCAACAGGCCTCAAGAAGCAGTTGAGCATTTAAAACCATCAGCCCCTTCCAGTCAATTGTGCCCAGTTCCCAAACACACTCATCAGTGTCCTCTCATCATTACAAGTCCTGGGCCCACATGAATGGCCGTTCCGTGCCCAGCCTCAGGGCAGTGAAAGCGAAAGTCACTCAGTCGTGTCCGACTCTTTGCGACCCCATAGAGTATACAGTCCATGGAATTCTCCAGACCAGAATACTGGAGTGGGTAGCCTTTCCCTTCTCCAGTGGATCTTCCCGACCCAGGAATCAAACCAGGGTCTCCTGCATTGCAGGTGGATTCTTTACCAGCTGAGCTATCAGGGAGGCCCTCCCTTAGCATTCAGATCCTGTTCACACACTTTCCTGAATGGAACAAAAATTTTTCAACTGTTTATTATTAGGAAGACAATGCATCCATTTCTCAACTGTACAGATTATGTCTTTTTGGATTCTAGCCAGATCCTGACAGCTCTGGAAGACAGTGGTACTGTGACTTCGTGAGTGACTGACGGGGGCTTTGGGTCAAACCCAAAGCACTGGGTCTCAGAGATGCCAAAATGTGGTGGTCACGACACACAGTCACATCGTCACAGTGCTTTGCCTTGGGAAACCCAGAGCACACACTGGGGTGATGCCAAGGAATTTTTGGCCATTCCTTTATTAGGCAAACTGTAAGGTAATAGGTATGGCTAACCAAAACCACCACAAAGTCACACGGACATTTACAATAGTGGGTTTTAGAACCAGGTCAAGGCCAGGAATCAAAATAGATCATTATGTAATCTCCAGACACACTGATGTTCCAAGAATCATCTCAAAATAATAAGTAGAAGTTATATATGGGTTTAAACACTTTAAAACTATCTTTAGAGCCCTGAGCCTATTTCAGAAACTTACTCGGTACAGTTGGGGCAGCTGGCTTAGATTCAAAAGTTTGCCAGGTTAAAAGACTCCCTGAAATGAAAAAAGATAAATTAACAACAAAAACCACAAGGTACAGGTTATATTTTGCCAGTGCACATCCTAACATTTCCCCCTAAAAAAATAATACATGAAATGTACTGACATGTAGTGTCTTACCCAACAAAGATGTTTAACATAAATCCCTTCAAAGTTAACTTTTTCCTAAAATTATTTTTCAAATATTTATGCCAATTATGCAGATATTCCTAATTATCTGAACTATAACTATTCGAAGAGAAGTTACAAGGAACTACCACCCTTTCCAAAACTTTATCTTAAAACAAGGAAAGCAAGTGTGTAGGTCAATATATAGGCCAATCTCATTTTACTGCACTTTATTGTACTTTGAAGATACCGCACTTTTACAAATTGAAGGTCTGTGGCAACACTGTGTTGTTAGGTAATGGTCAGCATTTTTAGCAATATAGTATATGTGCATTTTTTTAGACATAACGCTATTGTACACTTAACAGACTACAGTATAGTATAAACATAACTCATATACACTGGAAAGTCAAAAAAAAATTGTGTGACTCATTGTATTGTGATTATTGGATGTACTGCAGTGGTCTGCAACTGAACCTGCAATATTTCCAAGACATGCCTGCATTTCTCATGACCCCAGAAACAGAGAGGAAACACAATCCATACACCCAGTGCCAATCCCCAGTTGGCATCCCTCAAGTAGATGAAGATGCCTTACTATCTGAGACAGATGGGAACCAAGACGGGGACCACTCAGAAGGCAATCAGGCAGAAGGCAAGCTTGATGCTATAATGGGAGACCTGTACTTCTGACTCCCAGTCACCCTTCTCACCAGTTCCTGAATGCTGTGGAGATGGGTGGCTATCATTGCTATTTTCAGTAGGCTGTATATCCTCCTACTATGCTTAGAGCAAACCCTCAATCCCAGCCAACCACAGTGTAGAATCGCGCATCAAGCCTCCATAGCACTTTAGGATAATTAAGAGTTTACTATCAATACCAATAGCCAACACTGATGAGTATTTAACAGGTGCTCTTTACACGTTTTTCTATTTAATCCTCATAACAAGTCTATGATGTAAATACTACTAATATTCCAGCTTCTGAGCTGAGGAAACTGGGGCAGAGGCTCACAAAGCTACATACAAAGTGCCAGAGATGGGAGCTGAACCCAGCCTGCCTCTGGACTCTGCCCTTTTAATCCTAAGTCATCTAACTGCACATTCATCCAGAGGTACAGTTACTGAGCATGTATTATGTGCATAACAATATTCTGATAAAAAGGACAGGAGACCATTTGATGACAGATTAGGTATTTAAAATTCTTCAACTCTCTGGGTTGTGGTAACAGAGCTCCCAAGTCAAAATGTCTCAAAGCTACATACAAAGTGCCAGAGATGGGAGCTGAACCCAGCCTGCCTCTGGACTCTGCCCTTTTAATCCTAAGTCATCTAACTGCACATTCATCCAGAGGTACAGTTACTGAGCATGTATTATGTGCATAACAATATCCTGATAAAAAGGACAGGAGACCATTTGATGACAGATTAGGTATTTAAAATTCTTCAACTCTCTGGGTTGTGGTAACAGAGCTCCCAAGTCAAAATGTCGTCTTAGCACCTGTGAACCGTCTCAGCCCCACATTCACCAATGTTCAGCGCATGGTCAGGGTGGCCCACCTTGCCTTCAGCACTGGGATCCTGGTCCACTTACCTTTGGGTTCACTGACACTGTTTAACGGTTTACTGGTGAACTCTTTAATCTGCAAAGAAGAACAGTCTTTCAGCGATCCATGTTTGAAACTAGACAGGGATGTACTGGATGATCAATAGATACTCGGCTCAGTAAATGAACCTTTTCACTAATTGCCCCAAAGACACAGGGCATGTGGACTTTAATGACATGGAGACAAACTTTATTTTATAAAAGCAGCATTTGGATTCACCTGCTTCTCAAAGGAATTAGCGAAAGAAATTCTTAGATGCCTTCACATTTATCCTGAATTCTAACTGAATAAATCTGATTGCACTACACTATTTAAAAAATACCTTTAAAAAAACTATTTTATTGACTTGGATAAACAACCATGGTGGGGGGTGGGTGGGAAGATATTCTCTCTTCATCTCATCCAACTTACAAATGCTCTAAAGACACACGTTCTTAAATAAGTTGCACTGGTTACAGAAAAATGTGCCAATATAGTATATACACCAAAATACCTGCTGTCTCTGAGTGATGATCAGCTCGTTCTGTTCCTGGAGCCTCTGCCCTAGCTCTTCTATCCTTTTCTTATAGAAGACGTTACTTGCATTTAGATCATCTATCATGGAAGTTCGAAGTTTCTCTATATGTGACAGGAGCTGCAAGGAAGAAAGGCATCCATATGGAACCAGCATGTAAATTTCTTCTTTCTGCCGTTTGTACGTACACACCCCGCCTTCTCACTGGCTTACGTCATCTACACATTGACTAACTCTCTGATCACTGTGTCCCAAGGCCCTGGCTGTTACAAGGGGCTTCATCTCTGTTCCCAGGGAGCTCATGGTTCAAAATAGCAAACACCGATCGTGTGAACAGTGGAGTGAACGTGACCCATTACATGAACTCACACGGGGAGGAGCAAGGATAAAGGACTGGGCCACCCACAGAGCAACTCTGACCCCAGGCAGTCCTGTCCTTACAAGTCCACACACATCATCCCAGCTGGAAAGCATACTCCCCCAGCCAGAGAGCCCAACTTATTATTTTGTACAACTAGCAGTCTCTGTCCTTTAGCAGGTTCTCAATAAATATTTACTGAGAAATGCAAGGGGGTTGGGAGTTGAGGAAAAGAGGAAGAGAGGAGGGAGAAGGGTGGAGAGAGGGTGGAAAGGATGGATGGAGGGAGGGAACAGAAGGAAAAGAAGCTCAGGACAGATAGATCCAGAGATGCACAGATTCATCTCTAGAGGGAATATCAGTTCTGGACAAGAATTCAAGAAAAGGAACTTTCCTGGTGGTCAAAGCTAAGATTCGTGCTCCCAATGCAGGGGACCTGGGTTTGATCCCTGGTCAGGTAACTAGATCCCACAGGCCACAGCTAAGATCCTGTATGCTGCAACTAAGACCCAGTGCAGCCTAATTAATTAATTAATTAACTATTTTTTTTAAAAAAGAATACAAGAAGAATTCAGTTTCAAAAATTCAAGGAAACATTCTTAAAGCAATTTCAGATGTTGCTTAAACGGCGGAGAAAAAAGCCTTGGTAAATGGCACGAAGGACGTTAAAGCCTGTGGCCTGGGAATGGAGACAGGGATGTGCAGGTCAGAAAAGGCGGGTAACTGTGCTCAGAGGAGCACAGAGACATCCTGGAGCAGCATTTCCTAACTGGAGAGGTCTGTCTATTTTCAAACAAACACTCAACACGTTTTAGAGGTTGCATTAAGCACATCTTGTTGAATCTACACCACAGCATCATGGATACATGTTTTGACTCCTCTGTTCAGACAGGGAAACTCAGGTCTAGAGAGGTAAGTAACTGACCCACATGCAGACAGCTGGAGGAGGGAAGAGCCCAGACCTCAGCTTTCCTGTCTTCCAAGTCCACACTCTCAAACTTAGTGTCTGTGTCATGAGATGTGTTAAGAAATCGTGCACCCGTGTTCAGCTCCTCTGCCTTGTTTGACTCTTTGTGACCCCATGGACTGTAACCCGCCAGGCTCCTCTGTCCTTGGGATTTCCCAGGAAAGAATACTGGATCGGGCTGCCATTTCCTCCTCCAAAGGATCTTCCTGACCCAGGGATGGAACCCGTGTCTCCTGCATCTCCTGCATTGGCAGACAGATTCTTTACTGATGCACCACCTGGGAAGCCCTATCCACAAGAGTGAACAAGAGTGAACCCTAAAATAAATGGTGGGCTTTGGGGGATAATGACATATCAATACAGATTCATCAGTTGTAACAAATGTATCTCTCTGGTACAGGGTGTTGATAATGCAGGAGGCTGTACATGGCAGGGGTGTGGGGGGCGGGGTGTTTGGGAACTCTGTGCATTTCTTCTTCAATGTTTCTGTGAACCTAAAACTACTCTAAAAATAATCTAGTTTACATTTAACATACACATAACAAAAACAACAACAAAAAGTTAAAGCTCTCCATCAATACATAGCAGGGTCTTCCCTCTGAAGGGCTGTGTGCTCATATGAAGCTGGACAAACAATAGGTTGAACCAAGTTACAAAGGTTTCCTGAATAAAGACTAAAAAAGAAACCTTACATATCCCAAAGGATGCTAACAATCTCAATGACAGAACACTGTCAAGAACCTTCCCCACATTTTCAGAGACCACTGTAAGAGTGCCTCTCCCCCACCAAATAGTCTGGGAAATCCTGAGTAGGAAAGTAGAAGGAGAAGCCAATAAAAATGTCCAGGGGTCTGGAGAGAGGTTTAGGATCAACAATATGGGGACTCACTGCAGGACCCAAAAAGAAGGAGGACATAAGAAAAATGATGGGATGGCATCCTTTTAATATTGGAATTAAGACCTGACCAAGAAGGTACAGAAAAGAGTCTGCTGAAAGAGGAATGTGCTAGCCTGACATAGGGAATAGCCAGAAGTTATTTCAAAAAGCTGGTGGCCCTGGAGCTCATTTCTTTTCTTTTTTTAATTCATTGACTCATTAATTTTGGGTTGCAGTGGGTCTTCATTGCTGCACAAGGGCTTTCTCTAGTTGGGGCGAGCAGGGGCTACGCTTCATTGCAGTGCCCAGGTTTCTTATTTCAGTATTTTCTCCAGTTGTGGACCACGGGCTTTAGGCACGGGGGCTTCAGTAGTTGTGGCTCTCGGGCCCTAGAGTGCATGTGCACGGACTTAGTTGCCCTGTGGCACGTGAAGTCGTCCTGGACCAGGGATCGAACCTGTGTCCCCTGCATTGGCAGGCATATTCTTATCCACTGTACCACCAGGGAAGTCCTAGAGTTCACTTCTTGTGACTTTCTACCATTGCGAGTTTTACATTTTTTTCTCTACCAGCCACATCACCCCATCCTGCTGTCCTTTCACTGTGTGACCATTCCACAACCTCCCAAACTCTAAGAGTCTTCTGTTCAGTGGAAAAGGGCATGCCACCACTTACCTGTGGTTCCCTTTGAACTCCTACCACTGTTATTTAAAAACAAAACTAAAAAAAAAAAAAGACTGCCAAGAATTTAGGTAAAGCAATAAAAAGTTGGCAAATGCAACTTCCTGTAAGCAGAGAAATACAATATGTGCATTGTAGGAACAGTAGGCACCAATCATGTGGAATAATTGATAGTCAGGTCTCGGGCACAGATTACTAAACCTGAGGGAATTTGCCCCTCTGCTGGGGTTTAAGAGGAATGAAGGGAAAAGCAAGGAGCTTCGGAACAAGCAAAGCCAACAGACAAGGAAGCAGCGTAGCCTGGTGGCCGCACCAAAACCCCAGGCTCCCAGCACATGGGGCGAGGCGCCTCCCTCAGAACCAGGCCTCCCCTGCCTCTCTGTCACCAGCTGCAGTGGCCAAGTGGAAACCTCTACAGCTTACACAGCAGTCTAGCCAGAAAGCCACTGAAATTCCCACAGCTGCCTGAAATGCAAGGGAATTAAAGGAGCAAGAACTAAAATCCCCTCCTATTAAAAAAGAAACCTGAATTCTGTCCCTAAACCGCCGTGCACTAAAGATGCTTTGAAGAATAAAAGTAGGACTTCAAATCATAAGAGCCGTGATTCAAAGCATGGATCCAAAACACAATGATCTGGGGGTCTGCTGCTGTTGTTATTGGTGTTTTTTTTTTTGGCAAACTCTGCATGTCCCAGACTTACCTGCCGAATCAGACACTCAGGGAGTGGAGTTGGGCAGGTGCATTTGAGAAGAGTCTTGGGTCATCCTAAAGGGCAATCAGTCCCTGGTTAGGAACTGCTGCCTTAGAGCATCTCAAAGGAAAGATTCAGGTTCTTACAGAAAAACAACTGCTCCAAGTTGCCACTAGTTGTTCCCCTCCCCTGCTGGCTAAGTGCCTCAGAATGACAGGCAAGCAAGGCAGTGGGGCAGACAAGCAGGGACCTGAGGTTAAGAAGACCTGGGTTCAAATATCATGCTCACACAAACAGACAGCGCTTTCCACCCTGCTCTTCTGCCCCTACAATCAGCATCTCTCTCTCTCCACAAAAAAAAAAAAAAAAAAAAAGCTGAG